GTGTGTGTGTGTGTGTGCGTGCGTGTGTGTGTGTGTGTGTGTGTGTGTGTGTGTGTGTGCGTATGAAACCGAGTGGCAGGGGTCGTAGTACAGTGGGAGCCTCATGCAGGAGCGACGACACGAGAGAGGGTGTTGTGCATTCGCAAATGGATGACTGACCAATGTTACTGAGCGACTCTGCATCGAGGCCCTGCACGTGACATCGTGAAGAGGAGGAAAGGGGAAGTGGGCGAAGGAGGGAGAGGGGCGCATTGCAGCATTGCGGAGCATGTGAGAGGAGGAAGAGAGAAGTGAATGGGATGCAGAGGATGTCAACAGTTGGGTGCATGGAAATGGGGAAAGGGGAGGGAAAGTGACGCGAGCATGCACAACACACACACGCGCGCGCACACACACACACGCACGCGCACACACACACACACACACACACACACACACACACACACACACACACACACACACACACACGCACACACACACACACACACAACGCACCTCCTTCCATGAGCCGTCGGGTGCGTGTTCGGCGAGCCAATGGTACAAGGTGTCAAGCTGCTTGCGTTGCGAGGAGATTGTGTTCTCATACTCGGCAACCTCCTCTGTGAAGTCGAACGTCTCCTGGCCTTCTGCCAGCTCGCGGATAATCTGCTCTGCCTTTCGCGAGAGCGCAGCCACGTCGATTGGCGAGTCGTCAGACGACATGGTTGCGGTTATGGTGCTTGGGAGCAGGTGGGTGGGGGGAGAACTTTCTCCTCCTCCTCTGCCTGGCTGCACGCCGACCTTGCTCTGCTGTTTGCTCGGTCGTGTCTCTTGCTGGATTGGGATTGTGGCTGCGGGTGCTCGCTTTCCTCTGCGACCTCTGCTGCGCTTCACTCACGGTCAGCCAGTGCGTGCTGCTGAGTGGGTGGGTGAATGCGCAGTGCACTGCAGTGCGGCTTTGTTCTTCTTGCTTGTCTTCCTCCTTGTTTCGTGTGAGTGTGCTTGCTTCGCGTGTTGCTTGCTTCGCGTGTTGCTTTGCTCCGCCACCCTGCTCTGATTGGCTCTTGCTCACTGCCGCGCTGGTGCAAGCAAGCAAGCAAGCCTTGCTCGCGCACACAAAACCACCAGCCAGGCCAATCAGCTGTCATCGCTGTCCTTCGCCACCACTGCTGTGTCCCACTCGCTGTCTCAGATGACAGCTCAGAAATTGCGCCGTCGCCGCCAAGGTTTTGAAATGCAATAATTTGGTCGTGAGGTTGCCTCTCATGTCACTTGCTTGCTTGGTGCTCGTGTTCGAATGTTCTGCTGTGGCGGGCAGCAGCAATGACACACACACACACACACACACACACACACACACACACACACACACACACACATAAGGGGAAAGCAACAGTGGAAGCCGATACCCCATCTCAAATCGAACGACATGCTTCGAGCCTCCACAATACCCAAAACAGAAAAAAAAAACACGCACACACACGTACATGTACATACATAAAAACACGTGCGAACCAACATTGCACTGTCGCCTAGCCTCTTCCAGTCAACATCGCCAACCAACCCCTAACCCCAAGCACGAACGTCGCTTCAAACTGCAACACGAACAAAACCACAAGAGTCACAACAGCCACAACAACAGCAACAAGGCCTCAGTTCCAACACAAGAGCTGCTTCGACAGTTATCAAACGCATGTGCACGGGCACAAGGTGGGTCAGACCTCTGACGACCGGTTGTCGTTGTTGTTGATGTTGTTGCTGTTCGCGTTGATGTTCGTGTGCATGTAGAGCGGGTTTGTGGTGACGGCAAGCGGGCCATTCGGTGTGATGTCGTCGACAGGGCGTTGGTTGCGCGAGCGGACGACCAGCGCAATAATCAGCGCCATCACCAGCACGGCACCTACTGCAATGCCAATGATCACACCAATGTCCAGGCCAGAGTTGCCCGAGGTGGTTGACTTGTCCGCCGGCACAGTCGTGGTAACACTGCCGCCATTTGCTGCAGTGGTGGTGGTTGTGGTGCTGCTGTTGCTGTTGCTGCTGCTGGTTGTGGTTGTTGTTGTTGTTGTTGTTGTTGTTGTTGTTGTTGTTGTGGTGGTGGTGTGTGTTGT